GCTACCACAAGCTTTACTTGAGAATTCAAAAAAAATTCAGCATTCCATGATTGGCAACATTAGAACTTATTTCTACACATTTAATTTCTTGACGATTTTTCATATATTAATGTCTGGTTTTGGGCTGCAATACAAATTTTCCCCAAATTCATGGGAAAATATATTTAAATTTTTAATTTTAGGAATTTACAATGAATTAATATTAGATTAGTACAAAAATTAAATTTTGCGATTCACAAGGTTAAAATTTCATGATAAATTAGAATATTATTTGAAAATTTTAATATAACATTTTTAGCAATAGCGCTACAAAATTTATAACAATTTTCAACTTTAGATATGAACAGAGCTGTGATTTTGTGAATCTTTTTTAATAAATAATATTCTGATTGCAACTAAATATTAACTGCGTGAAGTAGATTTCCTACAAGTGAAACGAATCACAAATATGATTCTGATATTTCAAAATTTCAGCTTTTAAAATCTCATTTAAAAATTATTATTTTAAGAGTTTGTAAAATATTATAATTATATCGATGGCAGGTATTAATGACAACCACCTGATATAGGTATATATCTCAACAACTCACACCATTCCAAGTCAGATCACTTCACCAACTCTTTTAATTCATTACTCTTTTAGTTGATGAACTAAATTCGTTAAAACATTTCATCACAATTATTTCGACATCTACAGAGAGTAATTCATTTCCTTCTTGTAAGAATTATGTAGTATATGGCATATACAGCGAATTGGTATTAATTCATTATTGTACTGGCTTAATTCGGTAGGTTTTTGCCAAAATTTACAGAGGCATTATCAGCGCAGAAAGCTGACATGCAAATCATTGATAACCCTGAATCAGATATATTTACCATTATATGGCTAGCTACATTGTAGGATTTTTCACTATCCGAGGATAAATTTTTAAAAGTTATATTTTAATGTTCTTATTCTTATTGAAATAGCGCAAGATTGAGGGAAATGTTTTAATATTTCCCTTAATAGATGCATCTGTTAGAATTGCAAATGGATACCCATCTTTCAAATCGTCTAGAATTGATCTCTAGGATTCGGTTAATACTTGTGATAGCCTTGCTATTTTTGTTATGCCACAATTAAGGTTTGCAGGAGTCGTTAAATATCATGAGAAAAAGATTCGCCCCAAATTGTGATGATATAGCGCTGTGAATGTTGAACTACATGATAGATGTATACGATTTCTGCAAATGTAGTTGCATATATATTATTTACTATTTTTGAGAATATTTGTATTGCAATCGATATAGATTTCCTCCCCTGTACTGACTTGAATGAAAGATTTATTCTTGGATAAAATAAAACAGGATAGAAAGAAATTTTCAAACTAGACATGTTTTCAAATAAATATTTAAAATTTATTTTAAAAATAAAAAATAATCAATTAATGTCTCTCAAAATTATTATTTATATATTAAAAACGTTAAAATATAGGAAGAAATTAAAAAATTGCTTAAGATTTTTTCCGGAAATTTCCAATTGCGGAAGTTTCGCGGGAGAGAGATGCGTGTAAACTAATAAATTGCGGGAGTCTCCCGCTGATGGAGGGAGACATGGCAACTTTGTCCACATGTATTAGTGGATTGGTATTTAAGTTTGAGGGGAGTAAAGAAACATACGTATGGTCCCAAATTAGAGATTTGCCGAGGGTCGAAGGTATAGTTGTCATACCATCAGGTCATAAACCATAACAATAAGATTAAATTGAAGGTTCAAGATTCGGAATTAGGGCGACTGTTAGATCTCGATTTTAAGTTTTTTGCAGTATGACGGGTGTCCTTGACTAAATATAAAATTAAGACTGTGATTGCCTCCACACGTGATTTGCATTTTATAAACAGGCTTAAGATATATAAATCTAGACGTTAACCAATGGTAATCTCAAATTATGTTCTAATAAGAGAATCAAATTTACAACTTGGGAGTTAATCTAAACATTCATTACCACCAATTCGTGATCCAAAAAGGATTCGATGAGTTTGTATTTGTCAATATTAAAAAATTTTATACAAAAAGTTGTTAAAAACCTTAATAAGGATTTTTTTTAGCTCTGTCATCCATTTAATACGCATAAAAATTCTTATTAATATTATTTTATTTATGTTTATTTAATAAATAAAATAAGGAAGTTAATAAAATAATTTTGTAAACAAACAATAAATTTACTAAATATTTAACACTCATATATAAATTTATTATATAATTTTGGAAGATAATTTAAATTATAAGAATATTATAGACTTTAAAAAAAATACCCCCCTCTTCCAAACTAATCTTACATATTTTAAAAATTTATATGTATAATAATTTTTCCGAATATTAGTTTTACTTCTTATTGATAGAATTTGATGAATCTTATCTAAAATATTCTTTATTTATCCCCTATCTCAATATATTGAATTATATTTAGAATTTAACAGGTTTATTGTTACTACGAAAAGTCTATCAATTCATTTGAAACACAGTTTATATAAAAAAAATTTTTTAAAAAAATTCTGGATGGAACATATTTTTAATAAATAAAAAAAATTTCCATTCGGGCTAATTTTTGACTTACAATAAATTTTTCAAAAATATTAGAAAATTTTTCTTAAAAGGAGAAAAATTTTTACCTAATAAATGCCAAAATATTTCTTTAAAAAGATCTTATATTAGTAACTATTTTGAAATTTGTGAATAAGATGTAAAAAAAAATTAGTTTTTTCAAAGAATAGAATCCGCTTTTAATTTTACAGACAAAATATTTTATAAAAACTTCAAAAAATTAATTATTTTCTTTTCAGAAACTCACGTTCGACTAAAATCTTATGTTAAAAACAAGATCTGACCCTGACAGTATTATGCCCAATTTTAAATATAGTCAGATCAGGCAGGTCTAAGCAAATGCTCTGATGTAAATTAATTGTATTAATAATTGAAATTTATATGATATATTAAAAATTATATATTTCCTTTAAATTGTTGAATATAAGTTTATATTATAAAAATTTGTTAATTGCGCTTCTTGATATAAATAATAAATAAATTTAAATTTTTATCTCATTTTTTTTTGTTATGGAGTTCATAGGGATTTTGTTGTTATAAAAAATTTTTATTTTAAATTATAAACTAAATTTACATTACATATTATAGTTATTTTATTTGCAAAAATTTTGCAAATGCAAACAAAAATATCGACAAAATTTTGCGCTTATTTTAAAAACAAATTTATTATTTTATCGATGAAAAAAAAGATTATCACTCCCAAAAGCCCGGCTTGCTGTTTGGAAAAATATCACGAGTCGGACCTGGCAAAAATTTAACTAGGTAGCTCGTACATAAATAATTTATGGGCTTGAAAGGGACATAAAATTAATTCAAATAATATCAGGCAGAACCTGGCCAATCTAAATATATTTTATTATATTATCAATAATTTAGAAAAAAAATTGAAGAAATGTATAAATAAAAATGTTCTTGATAAAAAAATTTAATAATTAAAATCAATGGTAAAAAAATAAAATATAATTAATAAAGTGGAGATAACATTTCTAAGAGATTTATTAATAAGTTCTATTATCAAAAAATTAAGTGAACAATATTTAAGTGATGCAAAATATATCCATTTAAGCTGGCCAACTCAGTATATTTATCAAAAAATATTAAGCAAACTGAAGATATTCCTAAAGATAGAACATTTAGATATCTATTAGCGAAATCTTGAAGCTTAAGCTAATTATATGAGGAGAAATATAAAGATAGACGTTATTAAAAATCGGCCCTAAATTATATATTTGTATAAATCCTTAAAAAAATTGCTAAATAAAAAATTATATTTTTTATTTAAAGTTTAATGAGTTTTGGAAACGTAGCTTTAGATTTATCCTTCTAATTCATAATAAATTGGGATCTAAATAAATTTAAAACTCCAAACGAATTTTTTTTTGAACTAGGTTCAAGACTTCAAATATTAACCTACAGATTCCGGATAGTAAAATTTTGAAATTTAGAACAGGTCTAAAAAAATTAGAAAATAGAACTGGTTTAATTTTTTTTTGCAAAACTATAGTCGATGAGCTAGTCCCCTTGGAGGATCTGAAATATTATGTATTAATTTTAAAAAAAACATTAATATAATATATGAAAAAATTACTATCAGAAACTTCGTTGAAGACGAAGATAATTAAATAATTATTAACATTCAAAGATCCTTGAGAGCTATATTTATGCTTAATAATATAAAATAATCTAGGATATTTGAAATAATCGATTCCATTTATTTCAAATAAATTTAATTTAAAATAATACACAAACTAAATATATTAATTATTCAAGATAATAGTCTAGTATGTCTGTTCCCCGAAGGTTAAAAATTCTTGAAAATTTATTTTCCAAAATTATATCTCGTTTAACTTTGGAATATTGGTCCTGTAAATAAATTTTCATATTATGAATTAATTCCTAAATTCTTCTTTATCTGCCTATTAAGTTTCTAAACCTTGAACCCAAACTCAGGTATTAAATAAATTCACCGTCAGGATATTAATTATTTTGTAAATTCTTAATCTTGAAAAATATTATTAAATTTATTAAAATCATATTTAATTTTTCAAATTATTTATTTAGCTTTTAAAAGGTTTCACTTAACAGAACTTTATTACAATAAAATGTAACATTTTAAAAATATCGTCCATTTTTTTTTAAAAATCCATCAATTTTAATTTTATTTTTAAAATAATAATGAAAGTATAAAATTTGTTTTTTCTTCTCAATTCGAAGAATTTTATTAATTTTTTTTTTATTTCTTTCTCTTAAACTAATTTATAGGAAAAGAATGTATAAAAATAAAATATTTACTTTTTTAAATAATAATAGATAAAAATAATAAGAATAAATAAAAAAAAATTTAATTGAAGGATAGTATAAACACTGGCTCTTTTCTCAAAATAATTATTAAATAATTTTCATTAAAATTTTTGCGTTTAAACTTCCTTAAATTTCGTTTATTATACTAAAAATTAAAAATAATTTTTACTTAAAATCAATTTTAAAATGAAATTTTTAACAATTATCCTCCTGCTTGTTCTTATTTTCTGCAAGTCCCATGGTAAATAAAATTATTATATCATTTAAAATATTTATCTCCATTATATTATAAACATATGTTTAATTTTTATTTTTTTCATTTAGAAGCTAAAAATTAAAATTTAAACTTTATGATAAATATAAGAATAAAATTTCAATTATACGCTTTTTACATAGATTAATTATATTATTTAAAATATTTATTACCATTATATTATAAATATATATTTAATTTTAATTTTTCCTTTAGAGGCTAAAAATAAATATTTAAAACATTATTTGACAAATATAAAAGATGATAAATTTTAATTATAAGCTTATTACCTAGGATTTTTTTTTTCAATTAAAAAATAATTCCTCAAATTTTGCAAAAGATTGAATGATAAATTTATAAAATAAATTATTCATAAAGAATTGATAAAAAGATAAGAATGATTCATATTTTCTGGCTCTTTAAATGTATGCACTAAAAATTTGGCTAATAAATATAAAAATACATTAATATATGATAATCCATGTGTTTTTTTTTATAATTCTAGTAAAATATTTAAATTTTAAAACTGCTTTAAAGTTGAAAACATGAATTTGTTATAAATTTTTAGATTTCAAGCAATTATTATATATATATTATTTCTTTTTTATAAATAACTTTTATCAAATTTTTTTTTTATTAAAAAAAAATATCTTTTCAGTTATTATAGGGATGAAAATTAAAGTTTTAGCTTTAGAAATATACTTGAAATATTTCTCATAAAATAACTCAAGCTTTGAAATTTCCCAGATTTATTATATTTTAAAGCAGAATAACATTTTAATATTTACTATAGCCTTATCAACTTTAATAATATAAAAAAAAAATTTTTTATCTTAAAGAAATTCTTACGTAAATTGATATTATGTTATGGACTGCTATTGATTAGTGAATTAAATTCTATATATAATTATGACAAAACCGCAATAATCAGATATTTTTATGGGAAGGGATAGAGATTGTGCAAAAAACCGTATTTGTAAAAATTTGCAGCGCAAATTTTAAACCTTTCTACATCTATTAATTTATTTCAAACTTGAAATCAAAATACACACATCTTCATAATCATAAATAAGATTTTAAAATTTATATATTTTATTCACTACTTAAGTTACAGGTCTACATTCGAAAATTAGCAACTATGGCGTGCTATTATTTCCAGAAAGTATAATATAGTGAAGTTAATTTAGGAAGAAATGTAGTTATGATGAGAGTTATATTAATATTTTAAATCCTTTTGTCTCTATTTTTCTAAAAAGATTTTGAATATTTGAAAAATAATTATTAAAACTTATAAAGTTTATTTGTAATTTTACTTATATTATCCTACTTCAATTTTAAACTTATAAATCTATAATGCCTGTTTAAATTTAAAAAAATTTATTTTTTAAAATATTTGGATAATTATAGGTTTGTTAGAAGTACCAGAGCTTCAGCTATTTTGGTCATAGTATAATTCAAGGGAAAATAAATTTTTATAAAACACAATTAATTAAATATATAATTAAAACCAATATTTTAGTAAACTCATATAGACTTTTATAAAACTTATTTAATTAATTATAAAAATTTATAAATAAAATAGATTAGGATAAAGAAATAAATTAATATCTATTACTGGGAAATTAAAAGCTAAATTAAAAATTAAAATTAAATTGACGAGAAGGTTCTTGCGGAAAGGAGTTGTATTAGTTTTATTTTACATAGTTACGCATTAAAACAACTTCCTTATGCCTTTAGGTCTAATTATACATCGAGTTTTAGGATGATTTCTGAGACCTAACTATTTACTTTATAATTAATCAACACCTTACTTAGGAATCCAAAATTACAAAAAATCCTAAATTAAAAGAAAACACAAAAACCATAAATTTACTTTTAATGTTTAAATCAAACAAAAAGGGACTTTAAAAAACTATATATAATTTTATGTATTTAAGGCAAAATAAATGAGGATGTAAAAAAAACTAATTTATGATCAATGCATAATATATATTGATTTTACTTTTTCATATGAAATATTTAGAAATATTGTAATGGATGAGCTCTTATTTTTTATTTAAATATTCTAAATAAAATAAAAAAATTTTTAAATAACAAAGTCCCAATTCAGTTCATTATTTACATATTATTTTATATTTTGTATATGCGATTTTTGGAAGTGTTATATTATAGTCGGTCTAGAATTAGAGTGATCCACTTGCGCTAATGTTTAAAATAAGAAAATCAACATTAAAGTTTAAAATAAAATATAGGTAAAAGTTATTGATCAATTTTGACAATAACTTAGACAAAAATTAAATTTTTTAATTTAGATTTTATTTTTATATATATTAGGAATAATTAAGTTATTATCCTCTTATAACTCAAAAATTTTGAAAATGTCAAGTGGAGTACTCCAGATTGACGATATAAATAAACTGTAATGGATTTCTTAATTTTATTTATATAATAATATAATTATATTTTTCTATTTTGTAGGCATGGCTGTTCCTGGTAATTATAATATATATTACATTGTGGATTATATAAAAATTTCAAGCAATTATTATAGACAAACGATGCACTAAACTGAACCGGCTAGCCCATTTGAGGGTTCGATGGTAAAATTATAAATAAAAATAGAGATCCGAAGACCCATGGCCAGCATTATTTATATATTTCATTACTATTTTCTTATTTCTTGCCCGATGAATATCACAATGATACTCTGATAAAAAAAAATCAGCAAAGTTGGATAAATAATCAGAAAGTGGGAATTATTTAACTTTCATTTTCTCATAATACTTGGTAATAAAAATAGATAAAAGCATCATGAGATATTTATTATATTTTTTTAATTTAAAAATTGTTTCTATAAATTAATTATACCAAAGTATTATAATTGTAAAAACAAATATATAAGAAAACTTTTGTTAAATTTATCAGAGAACGATGGCTATTTTATTCTAAATATAAGCGATATATTTAAATAATTTACTATATATGGGAAAAATTGATATTATATATTTCTTTTTATTTAAAATAAAATTTAAACATAATTTACGAAAAAAATGAGATTTAAATTTCTTTTAAATCTTATAATTATAATCAATCGAAAACGAAATAAGATGTAAGAATCTAAAGTTTCACGATTTAATCTATTTTGCTATTAGTAATATTGTCAATTAATTAAACAAACATTTTTACAGAATAAAAGATTATTTTAGGGTATTAAAATGATAGATAATAGAATTTTAAAAAATATTTTAGAGGAAATGGGCACTTGAAGAATTACGATTAAATAATTATTTATTAATTTAAAATAAAATAAAATTATATTTATAGAAGAAAGTAATGCTATTCCAGGTTAAACGAAAAAATTATTAAAATTTTGATTCATATCGTATTAAGAATAATATGGCTAAATAAAATTTTCAATCAATAAAAGAATATTTAAAAAAAATATTTTCAAGGAAGAAGGGTGGTTCTAAATATGCTCGTATAAAACATTTTTTTATAATATTTATATTTATATGGAAGCGAATTATAAATAAAATACATTTTTATTAAACTTTTACTTAATTATAATATTTTTTTAAAGAAAATCGCATAGTTTATAAATAACTTGTTTCATCTGAATACAAATTATGAATCAATTTTTTAATTAATCAGAAATTAGAAATATTTATATATTTGTAATCACCTTTTAAGTAGCAATTTAATGAAATGTATATCAATATATTATATTTATGGTAAAAGTCGATAAAACTAAATTATTTATGATCAATGCATAATATATATTGATTTTACTTTTTCATAAGAGATATTTAGAAATATTGTTATGAATGAGTTCTTATTTTTTATTTACCTATTCTAAATAAAATCAAAAAAATTTAAAATAAAAAGTCCCTATTCAGTTCATTATTTACATATTTACATTTTGTATATGCGCTTTTTGGAAGTGTTATATTATAGTCGGTCTAGAATTAGAGTTATCCACTTGCGGTAATGTTTAAAATGAGAAAATCAATATTAAAGTTTAAAATAAAATATAGGAAAAATTTATTGATCAATTTTGCCAATAACTTTGACAAAAAATATTTTTTATTTAGTTTTTATTTTTATATATATTGAATTAATTATTATTCTTTTCTAACTTAAAATTTTGAAAATGTCAAGTGGATCTCTCCAATTCTAGATCGACGATATATAAACTGCAATGGATTTCTTAATTTTATTTATATTATAAAATAATATAAAAATATTTTTCTATTTTGTAGCCATGGCTCTTCCTGGTAATTATAATAAATATTACAATTGTGGTTTATATATTTCCTAACTATTTTCTTATTTTTTGCCCGATTGAATATCACAATGATACTCTGATAAAAAAATATCACCAAAGTTGGATAAATAATTAGAAAGTGGGAAATATTTACTTTTTATTTTCTCATAATACTTTGTAATAAAAATAGATAAAAGCATCATGAGATATTTATTATATTTTTTTAATTTAAAAATTGTTTCTATAAATTAATTATACCAAAGTATTGTAATTGTAAAAACACAAATAGATAAGAAAACTTTTGTTAAATTTATCAGAGAACGATGGCTATTTTATTCTAAATATAAGCGATATATTTAAATAATTTACTATATATGGGAAAAATTGATATTATATATTTCTTTTTATTTTAAAAAAAATTTAAACATAATTTACGAAAAAAATGAGATTTAAATTTCTTTTAAATCTTATAATTATAATCAATCGAAAACGAAATAAGATGTAAGAATCTAAAGTTTCACGATTTAATCTATTTTGCTATTAGTAATATTGTCAATTAATTAAACAAACATTTTTACAGAATAAAAGATTATTTTAGGGTAAATAAAATGATGGATAATAGAATTTTAAAAAATATTTTAGAGGAAATGGGCTTCTTAAGACAAACTTGAAGAATTACTATTAAATAATTATTTATTAATTTAAAATAAAAAAAATTATATTTATAGAAGAAAGTAATGCTATTCCAGGTTAAACGAAAAAATTATAAAAATTTTGATCCATTATCGTAATAAGAATAATATGGCTATAGAAAATTTTGAATCAATAATAGAATATTTAAAAAAATATTTTCAAGGAAGAGTGGTGGTTCTAAATAAGCTCGTATAAAACATATTTTAAAATATTTATATTTATATGAGAAGCAAATTTTAAATAAAATACATTTTTATTAAACTTTTACTTAATTATAATATTTTTTTAAAGAAAATCGCATTGTTTATAAATAACTTGTTTCATCTGAAAACAAATTATGAATCAATTTTTTAATTAATCAGATATTAGAAATATTTATATATTTGTAATCACCTGTAGAAATTTAATGAAATATATATCAATATATTATATTTATGGTAAAAGTCGATAAAACTAAATTTCTCATTACTAATAATTTATTACAAATTATTTCACGAATATATATTTTAAAATAAGAAATATTTATGTATCACTATTTTTAAATTCTAAAAATAATATAAATTGATTCTTGTTTTTTTACAAACAATTTTTTTAAATCATACAAGAGATATATTTTATATGAGAATGTTTAAAAACACAATCTCTTATAAAGATCAATATTTTTTATACTAGCAAGTTAAAATTTCTATCCATATATAAATTAAAATAATAATAAAGAAAAGTTTTATTTGAGTATGTTTACCAACACAACCCTAGCATAAATCCTTTAATCTCTCTATTCATACGAGGTAATGTACTATAGAATCCTAAGGCAGATTTTAAGAATTAGGATTAAATAATTATTTATTAATTTTACTAAAATTAAATTAAAATTTTAGGAGAAAATGCTGCTGTTCCAGGTACTTAAAATTATATTATATCCTAGAAACATGATAAAATAATTAAAATTAAACGATCAATAATACACACACAAAGAAAAATATAGAAACAATATGATGATTTTTATACTTATTAGAAAAATCAGGTTAAAGAAAATTTTAAATTAGATAATGGATTTTTAAAAAAAAATATTTTCTGGAAAAGGGAATTCTACCTAAGCTCATTTACATTTTATTTTGATTTATAAGAGGAGGAATTTTAAATAAGCTCATATAAAATTTTTATTTTATTATTTTTATATATAAGAGGAAATATTTTTTAAGAATTGTTTTGAGGAATTTTGACCGACGGGTCCCACCGTCGGGCAAGGGTTAAAACACAGTAAAATAATAAAATAATCACAAAATTTTATTAGTTAAAAAAAATGAAATAATTATATCATCCATGAAATCAAAATCGCGATCCAGGTGTTCTTTATATAGATAAATTAAATAATAAAAAAAAATATATTAATAATCCGTGTCCATCTCGAAAACTGGCTATAACCTGTTTCGAGGGAAATAAAAACAAGCTTGGTATACGTGAACAAAGAAAAAAAAAGATATACATGATAATGAGAAAAACACATCACTTCTAATGAAACAAAGAAAACAAAAATATAAATGGTAATATAAAAACATATCACTAGAAAAAAGACATAACAACGATTATAAACTAGTTAAAACACAACATGTTTTAAAATTATAATATAAAAATTTTATATTTTTATTATCTTTAAAGCGTCTTGTTTGTAAAATAACTTGTTTCATTAGAGCAGTAATTATGAATCAAACTTTTTTTCTCCATCAGAAATGAGAAAAATTAAGAAATATGGTTTTATCATATTTTTCTAAAACTAAAAATAATAAATAGAAATAACACATCATTAATATTCTATGAATGATGAATTTCTAATATATAAAATATTTTCATTTCTGATGAAAAAAAAGATTGATTTATGTTATCAATACAATTTTTTATTTTAATTTTAAAAAATAAAAGTTATATGAGAAATGTTTAAAAACAAAATCTCTATTAAATCAGTTGATCTGTATTTTTTATATGAGCAAGTTGAAAATTCTCTCCTCATATATATCAAAATATTAAATGTTTTATACGAGAATGTTTAAAAATAGAATCTCACATAAATCCTTTAATCTTTATTTGCGAGATAAAATTAATATATTTTTAGTAGAAAATGCTGCCCTTCCAGGTTACTTAAAATTATATTATATCGAAACATGTAAAAATAATTAAAATTTTAATCTCATAAATATAAACAATCAACATGCTAAGGAAAAAATGTTAAACAATAGGATTTATATCATTAAATAAAAAATCAGGCTAAAAAAATTAACAATCAATAATTAAAAAAATATATTTTTGAACACGTGGGAGTGGTTCTACCTACCCTCATAAAATATTTTATAAAAATTTTATTTAATTAATATATTTTAAATAAAATCGTATGATTTATAAATAACTTGTGTCATCTGATTAACAAATTATGAATCAATTTTTTTATTAATCAGAAATTAAAAATAATTATATATTTGAAATCACCTTTCAATTACTATTTTAAATGAAGTGAATATTTAATATATTATATTTATTGTAAAAGTTGAAAAAAACCAAATTTCTCATTTCTGATAATTAATTTCAAATTATTTCTCAAATATATTTTTCAAAATAAGAAATACTGCTTTAACAAGTAATTTCCTAACTAAAAAATAATATATTAATATACATATCATTAAGATGCTAATTGAATGGTGATTTTTAATATATAAATATATCTCATTTTTTGAAAAAAAAATTGACTGCTGATTTTTTTACAAAC